ACATTTTATAGTTCAAGAAAATAAGGCCACATATGAGCATAAATAATGGAATGTTTTTGCAAAACACTCGACATTGAAAAGACCATAAAAGCCTTAGTTAACATAAAATATTTAATCTTAACCTTAAAACACAGTGGGTTGTCATGCACATCCTTAATTCAATGGATATTTCTCATGCAAAATAGAGCTATCAGTTAAGAACAGTAAATACAATCCTCTGATGAGAATTCTGAAGGGCAGAACAAGCATTGCATATCATAATTTAACCTTATAAATTCAGTAATCAAAGCTGAGAGAGTAGGGATGGGATTTAATCAAATTTAGATTATCCACTATTATGTCTACTCGGAAACAACAGGCTGTTTTAATCAACTGAAGAGTATACCTACTCAAGTTCATGCTCATTAACTTCATCCTGTTTGATAAACAGGCACCTCACCATATCTGAAAGCATCCATGACTACAGATTGTCCCTGTCCCCACTGCAGCGCACACTGGGCCCCAACCCCCATGATCTGCTTCTCTTTGGAGCCCACAGTGACAGACAAGTAACCACCCCTGTCCACTAGCATAGACTCAGCCAATGCTTGATGGGAGCTGATACCAACAACAGGGTGGGAGAGCTTAGGTGCGCAAGTTCTGACCATAAGTGACATGATGCCATACCCTTCTTGGCTGCCTTCCTTCCCATTCCACGCTCCTAGATCCAATGGGTGCTTCCCAGGATCCTCTTCCAAGCCAACTGGCAGAGCCTAACCTAAGATACTCTGAGTTGTATTTATCATGTCCAAGCCTAACCTAGTCTTTCGCCCAACATTCTACCAACTATAAATCAGGGGCAATGCTAAGAGACCCAGCGGACTATTTTAACTCAAGGCAAATCTGCCCTGGAGTCAGGGCTGATCTGGTGTGAGGGTGCAGTATTTACTCCCTCAGCTGCACTGAGAAGTATGTCCTCAATGGTGGACATAGGGAAGAAACACTAGGATGTGGGTAAGGAGGGAGATGGTGGGTGGCAGAGTTACATAAAGAGTCCTAGAAGACCCTTGGATGGGACCCTGTACATGATGAGTTTGGAAGTAAGATTGCATTGAACAACCTTGTCTTGCCTTGCCTCTTTGGGCCCAGGAGCACGCCCCAGTGCTGCCTCTAAACTCATTCTGATTTCTCTACCCTTCCATATGTTTGCATCCTTATCTACCAGCTTTTGATCTCTCTCCCCTATAGGGTTTCTTTGTGGATCAAACAGCCTTCTTTTTCTCCAGTGCACTGGCTGATGGGATTGAACTGCTGACGTAGTGGTTAGTAAGCCAATGCCTCCCTCATATCCCATTTTGAATCGAAATCACTTGAACTAACTGAGAAAGACATCATTCATTCATCTTGCCCTCCGTTCTCCATCTCCTACCACTTAGAATGTTCGTGTGTGTATTACCAGAGCCTTCTTTCTGTTTAAATAACTTCCGCACCGTCTGACAGGCAGAGCCATCCCCAAGGCACACGCCGCAGCGATCTTCTGTGGCATTGGAATCGATCTCGTAGTCACAGCCAACCATCTGCGGGAAGAGAGGGTGAGGGTGAGGGACACAGGCAGGAGGTGCCACACCTGCCCTAGGTGTGTGCCATCTCTTTTCCCCTTTGCACTTATAAAGTTGAAGCCCCCCAAAGCGAATCTCTTTGCCAGTGAGTTGATTACCACTTACAGGAGAAGTGGAACTGACCCCGAGGGCTGCCAAGGCTGTGTGAATCTTTATTTACAGAAGCACAACACCACAGCTTTCTCTTGCCAAGCAGCCAGTCGGTTGGTTCAAAGTGCCAACGTTTGG